GCTAACACTTTCAGAGAGAAAAGGCTTTAGCCCCTCTGACCCCACGGATGTCAGTGCTCAGACGCTGTGGGGCTGGAGGAGAGGAACCCCAGGCCACAGGGAGTGGATACATCGCCCACAGAGGAGCCTAATTCTTGAGGAGGAAGGTGAGTTGTGTCAGCGGAGTCGGGAAGACTCGTTCGGGTTGTAGTAGCTCCAGGGTGTGTGTGCCTGTGTGTGTGGTGGGGCGAGTGTCCAGGGGACACCTGGGCTCCTCACTGTGCCGTGGGGATACGTCGTAGGCGAGAATTCTGTGCACACCTGACTCCTACAAGCAAGCACTGTAACCCATTGTGTCCTGTCACTTTGTGTGGGGAAAAGAATCCTAGTCAACAGTTTTTCTTAAATTTTTAAGAATATTTTACCAGGTTCCTGTCTTTTACTACAGGATGCTTCTCTGACAACTTCAGAGTTATCAGTCGGTGGTGTGAGCAGAAAACCTGTGTAATCAGTACCTGAGGCTTTCTTTAAAGCCCCAGTTTGTAGAAAGTTACCAGGCAACTAGTTACACAAAGATGTCTAATAGAACCGTGCTCTTCCAGGGCTTGTCCCCTTCAAGGTCCTCACCTTCAGGACAGCAATGTCAGGCCGAGCCAGGACCCGAGCCCGCGGCAGAGCCCATGGTCGGGCGCCCTCCCAACCCGCACCACCTGGAGCCACTGCACCACCTGGAGCCACCGCGCCACTAGTGAGCTCAGTCCTGTTCAGTCTCCTTTATGCAGGATGCTTTGTTTTCCTCTACTGCTTCCCTCTCAAGTGTTTTCACATATGCAAATGGACTTCCTTTCAACCTGAATGGATGCAAATGTTTCTGAATATCTTGGCCCTAGCCGGTGACTCCTCTTTGGGAGTGACTTCAAAACAAGCAGCTGATGCCCCACAGATATCTCCACATTCCTGATGTGCTCTCCCAGACATGTCCCACTCACTTCATTGGAAGAAGCCCCATTCTTCCAGTTGCCGGGGCCGAAGTCTTTGGATCCATCTTGGACTCCTCTCAAACCTTTCACATAAACAGGAAATACTGTTGTCTCCCAATTAAAAAAAAAAAAAAAATCTGGTATCTGACAGTGTCTCACCACCTCTGTTACCACTCTCTGGTCCAAACCACAAGCATCCCTTGCTGGATACGGCAAATGGCCTCCTAACTGGTCTTCTTGCTTTTGTCTTGGTCTTTCCCTCATGTTTCCCAGCACAGAGCCCGGTAAACTGGCCATTGCATCTCCTCTGCCCAATGCCTTCCCCTCTACGGGTTCCTGTTTTCTTAGTCAGAGGCACATTGTTCAAAATGGCTTCCCTCCCACCACCTCTCTGAGTTCTCTTCTCTTCCCCTTGCTCCAGCCACAGTGGCTACCTTGTCCTTCCTTGGACGTTTCTGCCTTAGAAATTTTGCTCTTTTTTCCCCTCTACCTGCGGCTTGTGTAACCTTGTAACTCTTTCAAAGTCTTTGATTCAGTCTCAACTTGCTGAGGCTCTGCTTCATCCTCCATTAACTTAACCAGCCCCCTTCACACCCCACCTTCCCAATAACAACCAATTTTCTGTACTTCTATTTTTCATTTCCCTGGCAATTAACATGTGAAAGCTATATAAGTCATTTTTTTCTACTACTGGCATGTGAGCCTTCACAAGGGAATATGCTTTATGCCCTGATAGTGCCTGGCACATGGCAGGCAAGTAATTTTTGGGCGATGAATAAATACCGTTAACACCACTCTTCATGGCTATTCCCCAAAACATGCAGACCCAGCAAACTGGCCAAATTCCACCCAGCTCCCAGCCACTGCAAGTGAAAAGCCAAGTGGCTCAGCCTGCACAACGAAGACCAAGAAGGGCACCGCGGCCTCCAGGTAAAAAAAGAGAGGGATATGGTGAGGGGCAGGGGATGTTTAATCCGTGAGGGTGCACCACAGTGATAACATTCCAGGCAGAGAACCTCAGGATCCCCATAGGGTTCGGCAGGATGGGAAGAGTATACAGCCCGCAACTATTTTTCTTTTCTGCAACAAACTACTCGGTCAGCATTTTATTCCCCCTGTATTTTAAGGCTTATGGAAAAGAAATGGAGGTTGATGACAGTCAGTCTAGCCAATTGTTTGATATAGTTGCTTTTCAGATTTAGACAGTGTGTTTCTATATAATAACTCCAAGTTCACTAGGAACTCTAGGAACATGATTGGGTTTGTGAATCACTGCACTGGGAGGTTGAGCAGCTCCGTGAGCACCTCAGCATTCCCCTGCATTGTATTATCCTCATAGGTGGAAGGCTATAATTTTACAGGTGAGCACAGAGGCTCCTATATTAGCCAAGGATTTGGCTAATACAATTAGACCTCAGATCTGATTTTCTGATTTGCTCCTACTTATATAATTTTTAAGAGCATAAATGAGTGGAGGGGGAGAAGGAGAGCGAATCTTAAGCAGGCTCCATGCTGAGCATGGAGGCTGACATGGGGCTCGATTTCACAACGAGGAGATCCTGACCTGAGCCAAAATCAAGAATCAAACACTCAACAGACTGAGCCACCCAGGTGCCCTATTCAGTTTTAAATTGTTATTAATTATGGTGAGAATAGATAACATGAGATCTTTTACATAGTTACATACATACATACATACCTTTGACATAGTTCTAAGTGTACGATACAATACTGTTAACTATAGGCACAATGTTGAATAGCAGATCTCTAGAACTTACCTTTCATAATGGAGACTTTACACCTGTTGATTAGCAACTCCCCATCCCTCCTTCAGCCCACCCCTGAGCACCACCATTCTACTCTCTGCTTCTAGGAGTTTGACTGTTTTCGATGTCTCCTATCAGCGGAATTATGCATTATTTGTCCTTCTAGGATTGGCTTATTTCACTTAGCATGATGTCCTCAAAGTCAGGTTGTTGCATATTGCAGGATTTCCCTCTTTTTTTTTTTTTTTTTTTAAAGGCTGATTAATATTCTATTGTGTGGATATACCACATTAACTTGACCCATTCATTCATTGGTGGGCATTTAGGTTGTTTACAGGGCTTGGCTATTTTTAATACTGCTTCAGTGAACATGGGAGTGCTAATACCTCTTCGAGATTCTGCTTTCAATTCTTCTGAAAGAATCCCCCGGAAGTGGGATTGCTGGATTATATGGTGGTTCTACTTTTAAGTGTTTTGAGGAATCTCCATACTGTCTTCCATAGCAGCTGTGCCATTTTTGCATTCTCAAAGGGTTTAAATTTCTCCACATCTTCATCAGCACTTGCTGTCTTTTTGTTTTGTTTTGGATTTTTTTTTCATATATATAACAACCATACTTAGAGATGGGAAGTGATAACTCATTGTGGTTTTGATTTGCAATTTCCTGATTTCCTGATGACTTTGAACATCGTTTCATATACCTGTTGGCCATTTAGGTCTTTGAGAAAGGATCTGAGTGGACATTTCCCCAATTTATTTTATATATATTTTTAATTTAATTTCATTATGTTATGTTAGTTACCTTACCATACATCATTAAGTTTTGATGTAGTGTTCCATGATTCATCATTTTTGTATAGTGGGAGGGGGAGACGAACCATGAGAGACCATGGACTCTGAGAAACAAACTAAGGGTTTTAGAGGGGAGGGGGTGGGGGGATGGGTTAGCCTGGTGATGGGTATTAAGGAGGGCATGTATTGCATGGTGAACTGGATGTTATCCTTTCTCAATTTAAAAAAATTGGGATATTAGGTTTTTTTCACTCTTGAGTTGCAGGAGTTCCTTATGTATTTTGGAAATTAACCCCTTATGAGATAATATGGCTTGCAAATATCTTCTCCCATTCCGTAAGTGCCTTTCATTCTGTTGACTGATTCATTTGTTGTATAGAAAGTTTTTAGTTTGAATTCCCACTTGTCCATTTTTGCTTCTGTTGTCTCTGCTTTTGGTGTCTTATGTTGTAGATATTTTTATAATAAACTGATACAAAATCCAGACTCCATGAAATGAATTTATAAAGGTGAATACACAATAGTAAAATACCCATTTTTATCATCTATATCCTGTCTGAAGAGTTATGATTAATGCTTCACGTAAAGTACATTATATGTAGCAAGTACTAATGAAAATGACAACTGTTTTCTTTCACTGAAATTTGAATGTGGTAAGTTTGATTGCTGGATGTGTCTGGAATTAGTTGAATTTGATAAAAAGCATTTTTAAAATTTATGTAAAATGAAATTAGTTTTTCTATCATAGAAGTTCAGACTTTGGTATCTTATAAGATCTTCATAAACTAGGAATGATAGCTTCCAGAAGTAACATTTTGAAGAGAACCAGTTTTTGCCACCCAGAGCATGGACTGTATTAGCCATTTTCAGGGGTATAGGGTTTATGGATAAAATAAGTTTCTTTCACAGTATTTGAAAGACTGCTTTGCACTGTCCTCCAAATATCGACCTATCAAATAACCTGTATGCATATTACAATGTGATTAAAAATAGAGCTTTTCCCAGTTGCTGTTAATAAAAAGAATAGATCAGTTGTTCCGTATCAAGAGCATTTCATAGATTTTTTTTTTTTAACAGCCTGTTCAGTCAGCATTTTCTGATGCCTACGAGAGGGCAGTGTGGTGCCAGGTGATTGGCCTATAAAGCCAGTAGAGAAGGGACAAGGTTTCTGCTTTGAAGCTTGCACCCTGGACAAGTGCCTGATAAGAGCAAATGCCAGAGCACTGATGAATGTGGGGGCTCGGCCAGCCACTGATGTGGAGTGGGGTCTTGTTGGGAGAGGCTTCTGGGTCACAGTCCCCCTTCCTGGTGACCCATGACTGAAATACTGTTGTTTGGCTCCTGTGACAATCCACTTTCCTACCTCCAGTGACCTTGACTTAGTTTTCCTTAATAGCTGGGGTTTAATATTGTCCTTTCTGTTTTATTTTTCCCCCTTTTTTATCCGATAAAACTCATGGCTTTCACACTTGTTTCCATGTAGAGGAAGCTCAGCTGGTGGCTACACTGCAGGCAACGTCGGTGAAGGAGAGAAACCGTTTTGGGGGCATTTTTTGAGACCATGTGGTGGATACCCGACAGTACTTGGACCATGTGAGAGAGTCCACGGCAGGTGTGCTGGCCATGAACGACCCAGTGTTAGGGAATTGTTCTCGTTAAACGTGTGCTGAGGTGCTGGTTTGTGTGTTTTTTTTTTTGTTTTTTTTTGTCTTTTTTTAATGTTAGTCACCATACAATACATCATTAGTTTTTGATGTGGTGATCCACGATCCATTGTTTTCATATAACACCCAGTGCTCCATGCAGTACGTGCCCTCCTTAATACCCATCACTGGGCTATCCCATCCCCCCCCACTCCC